AGTAATGTATGTATGTAACTTTTCCATGAACTAGAGCACTTCATTTGATGTAATGAACTTCAATATCTATATATGATCATTTTGAGTTAAATCTCTTGTCTTAGATTGTTTTTCTCTTATGATTATATTGCTACATTTTCATAGTGACAATGGAGATGAGTTCATGGAAGTATTGTTATTGGCATGATAATTAGGAGAATTGATAATCTATTGCTTAGGATCTCCCTTTGATAAATTATTCTTGGATTCTATTTCATGTGCTTACATTATGAGGTTAAGGGCTTAATAATCGTTGGCTTAGTCAGCATGTCCAAGGTTGCATTCTAGTTTAGGTAACCTAAGCATGTAATGCTTTGATAGGTTATTCTTGCCTATTGACTTCATATATTTCTTAAGGGGAATGTAATAATTTTGTGTTGTTACATCCCATGGTTGTATATATAAGTTATTCCCCTAAGTAAATCATGTCCTAGCATGCTTATTGATGGTTGTGGAGTCACTTCCTACTCTCTTCTTCATTATCCCTATCTCTTTACTTTATTGTTTTATACAATTTAAATTCATAGCTTGAGTGATAACCAACAAATCCTCTATGAACACCCCGTATCATTCTAAAAAGACTCTAGACACTTAGGTTGCTATAGATTAGCACAGTCCCAGTGGTTCGACTTACCCGACCAATAGCCCTATTTTAGAATGATTCATGCTATTGCGAAGGTTGATTTATTATAGATCGAATTCTCAACCGATCATGGGTTGAAGTGCTAGTAATCCGAGTCAACTCAAACCCGAACTCTAATATTATTTTCATGTATATTTTTACTTTTAAATACATTATATATAATATTTAAACTATGATTACTTTTTTTCTTTCCAATTTCTTTTTGTTAAATCTTAACTTATTGTATGTTAACATTTAAGAGAATTAATTTTCTAAAAATTTGTTTGTAATTTATTAAAAATCTACAAAAAGTTTTTAAACTTTTTTTTCTTAAAGAGTTATTTATCTAAAACTAATTCAAGATCATATTAAATTTTCGGTGTAAGGATTAGCTATATTAGTAATCCGAATTAACCCGAAGTTTTTACCTGAAATCTAAATGCGAGTTGCAAGCCTGAATTTAAAAGTAGAAGGATGAGTTGGGCTTGGGTTGAGTAGTTAAGGTTGAGAATAGGGTTAGGATTGGGTTTGGGTTTAGAATTTCATATGATGGGTTGGGCTCAAGTTATAACATAAACTCGACCAACCGGCTCGAGTTGCAGCCCTAAATATAACTAAGTGGAGGGCTTTGCTTCCTTATTTATTACATAATTGATCAATTTTAAAAGTAAATCTAACAATTCATTGCAACTATTCGGTGCAAGAACCATTTTTCATTTTTTATCATGCAATTTAGCTAATTAAATGCTAGTTTGACTTGATATGAGTATTGATGTAATAGGAATAGGTTTCACCGTGTGCTGAATTTTGGGACTTGAGACGAGGCAGAGAAAGTAAAAATAAATAAATAATAATAAAATGGAGGAATGCAAATGCAGTTGGCAATGGTTTTCTAAGTACGTACAATAATACTTGAGTGAGAGAAAAAAAATTAATTAAAAAACAATACTACGTAATTGAGAAAGTGGGGGAAAAAATATTTATTTTATATATATATATATATCTATTTGCCCTATAAAAGTGTATTCTTTTTGTATTTTTTATATACACTTTTTGGTAATAATAATATGTACTTTTCAAATAACTACTAACACCTCTTCTAAAAGTCACCTTTTATTATTTATATACAATTAAATCATTAAATTTATTTTAATAAATAAATATGACTTTTCAAATAACTACTAACACATCTTCTAAAAGTCATCTTTTAACCACACTTTGTATTTTTTATATATATATTTTTGTAATAATAATATATACTTTTCAAATAACTACTGACACCTCTTCTAAAAGTCACCTTTTATTATTTATATACAATTAAATCATTTAATTTATTTTAATAAATAAATGTGACTTTACAAATAACTACTAACACCTCTTTTAAAAGTCACCTTTTAACTGCACTAGCACCTCTTCTAAAAGTCACCTTTTAACTGCAAACACCTATTATATCTCACTGCTCTCTATTTCTTTCCATCTCTCTTTGAAAAGAATTTCTTCACAAAAAGTTTGTTAGAGATTTCTTCTTCCACAAACAATTTCAACGGCTTTGAGAGGAGATTCGTCTTTTAGTTCATGTACATCAAATTACAACTCAAAACCCTTTCAAATTTTTTTTTTAAAGGTATGTTTTACTTTGAATTGAAGAACAATTTATATATTTTATTTTTCTATCTAATCATATATATATTTATATTGATTCATACATAATTAGTACATGAGAAGTTATTATATTTTATATGTTTTCCTAATAGTTCAGTTCTGAAATTCTTTTATTACGATGTGAAAGAAATATGCATGAATATTAACTTTGTTTTGTTTAGAAAAATTGCATGGATAAAATATATAAAAATTGTATTTTATATGTAATATATGTGTACAAGTATATATAGATAATTGACGCGTATAATTATTGATTAAAATGTCTGTTAGTTATCATAAAATTCTTTCACGAATGAATCGTTATATATACAATACATAATTAGTACATGAAGAGTTTTTATATTTTATATGTTAAAGTGTTTTCAATCTTGATTTTTATAACCTATAGAAGTGTATTTGATTTATAATATTTATATACATTTTAAATGATAGTGGAAGACTTGGTAAATGTTCTTTTGTGAACGTGACAATCTTGGAGCCTTTCAACTCTTCAACAGGCCAGAAGTTTTTCACTCTGTGTTACTTTAATATGCTTTTACTGATATTTTATTGGACTGATATTATTTTATAATACTTTATTTGTACTATTTATATTTTGCTATAACTAAGTGTTTTGGTCAAACTACATCCTAATCAAGTTTAAATATTAAAAAATTCGCATTCTCTGCGTATATAATGTGTTTACTGTTCTTTGTTTCTTTTCTGTCTACTTTTGTGTTCCTTTCCTATTTAATTTTTTAAGAAATATTGTTCTTTTATATACGTTTGCCTAGTTCTCTCCAAAGTATTTATAATTCCGTTATATACTTTGTTTATATTTGGAAGTCTGTTCCATGAAGAGTTTTGGAAGTATTGAGAAATTTCAATGTAAAAAAAATAATTAAAAAATAATGAGAAATTCTCTAGAGTTACATTTAGAATAAAACGGCATTTAGTTCAACCAGTTTAATATATACGTTATCTATAATATGTGTATTACATATACATATATATGTGTGTGTATATATATCATTAGAAACCAAATTTTATTTACTTATATTGATTTTTTTAAAAAAAAAACAAAACAAAAAAAGCATTGATATGATCTTCAATTGAAAAAAAATTATTTCATCTCAATACATCCTATTCTTCAAATAAAAACTCACTTTTATTTCACTTCTTTAATCATTAATATTACTGAAAGTCACAATCTTTTTAAGAAAAGTATCATAAACTAAAACTCTTCTTAATTGTGAAATCTTTTTCTTTTTCACTCTTTTTCTTTAGCGTTAAGGAAAAATATGATTGATTAAATTTAAAATTCTATCGTGCATCAAGCAGTGTAAAAGTTATTTTCTAAATTCTTTCGTAAGTAGAGAAGCTTTACAATCCTTGACTAAAAATCAATCTCTTTAAATAATAAATTATTAATATATATCTAAATCAAAAATTAAAAGTTGTGTTTATTCAACCGCATTGGAATAAAATACTCATAACATTCTTGTATATAAAGTTATTCAATTTTACTAAAATTGATATTATTAAACATCTTTTAAAGAAACCAGATGATGGTTGAAAGTTATAAATTTTATTTATAAATAAATCTCTCATGACAAATTTTAGTTATCTCTGAATTTCTGGTATATATTAATTCCATGTATTGAAATCTATTCATATGAAAAAGTATGAATTTCAATTTATTTAGAGTGTTGGAATAATTTATTGGATAAAAATGAAAGTGTCATGAAGGTGAGAGTGAAATACGTAAATGTTATACTCCTTTTCTGAATTTATAAATTAGAGAGACACACTTATAAGTGTTATACAAAGTGAAATAGATATGTGTTATAATCCTTTTCTGAATTTAAAAACGTTTACGGTGCGTAGAGAGACTACACACGTTTAACAATAAACACTTGTAGAAAAATTAGACGGTTCATAATTATAAATTTTATTTATGAATATATCATAATACTTACTCTATATCATAATAATTACGTGTGAACAACTTTAAGGTCTCTATATAATATGATATCATGAATATTATATTCTATTCAGTCATACATAACAAATAAAAAAATAAAAAATTGATATAAGATGTGCACATATAATTATTTAATTTTTATTGCATGTTTTTAAATCTATTTATAAAAAAATGTAATGTGTTATATGTAGTATTTATAAATGTACTGTTATATTCTAATACATCATATGATTTGATATAATAAATCTCTTGTAGAATTGATTCAATAGCCTTTTTCATTGCTTTGCAAAATAAAATTATATTCTTTAATTGTTCGGCTATAAATATCACAAGAATACTAGGGTTTGCATAAGGTTTTAGATAAAAAAACTTTGAAGATGATGAAAAGTCTTATTTACCTTTGAGATTAAAAGTCAAATAGTTATTCGAATGATGAATGATAATTTAAAAATTTTGAATTTATTTTGCTCTAAATTATAAATACATAATTCAAATTAACTTAACACTTTTATCTGTAAGTTATTTTAATTTCATTTTAGATTTATATCATCTAAACTATTTTACTATCTCAAAATATTGTTAAGTTCAATTACGTGAATTGCAGGTGGATCTATTTAATATATATATCTTTCAATTAACTGTGCATATGATAAGAAGGTTAATATGGGGAAATAGGAAAGAGAAAAAAAAAAAAAAAAAAAAAAAAAGAGAGAGAGAAAAGATGAAGAAACTGATGGTATAAAAGAGGGCCAAACTAACGAATCGAGGAAATCGAAAGAAGCGCAAATATTTCGTCGACAACTCGCGAATATCAAGATGTATACATTCTTCCCTATGTCATTCTCTATTCAATTTAATTTTATGATTGAGTTTGAATTATTGTTTTTGACCTCATTTCCCCATTGCTTTCGAATAATTCGATTTTAGGTTTGAAAATTTCTTTGCCTTCATAATATGTTCATCTCTGGCCTTTAATGTGATTGATTGTTTGCATAACATATAATGGACGGACAACTTGGTACTGGGTTAGATTTGTTTCTGGATATAGATTCATCTTCTATTACTTTTGTAGTTCAATGAATTAGTATTAGTTCAAATGTCATGCAATTATTCCTTATGTTATCAGGGCTCGTGTGATTCTTATATATTTTTTGTTCTTCTGTATAAGGGTTGGTCGGTGGAATGTTCTGTTGATTAATTGAACTTTGAAAATTTTATAATAGCGTAATACTGAATTTGGAATGTTCTTTTGATTAATTGAACTTTAGTTACAATCACTAGTAGGTTGTTTGTAGCAAATGTTAGTTTGCTTGTACTTTTCCATTTCCTAGAATGTTTTAGCATGGAAGTTATTTTATACCTTTGATTTTATTGTTTATACACTAATATCTTGATTGGGTGCTTTTGGGATTTGGGTTTTGGATTTTAGATAAAAACCCAAATTCTGAAAGGAAAAAGGTTGGGTTTTCAAGTGTGTGAAGTTACACCCCAGGTTGGAGTCTGGTAGCACCTGTTTTTATGCAAATAATGCTAAAGATTGTTTGTACCTATTCCATCCTTATTTGACATTGTTGATTAATGGATACCAGTATTCTGCAATGATCTTTTGGCTTTTTAGTTTTTAGATGAATCGTTATATTGATGATGAATTATGCCACCTAACAAAGATGCTTATATGTATTTATGAAAATTTTGCATTGAGATTTCTCCTAGCATAAAAATGTCCCAACTTTTTATTTTCCTTTAACCACAGTTTTAAATATCTAATGAATCCATTAGGTAACCATACTGTCAGGCAGATCCTGGTACAAACTGATTTATTGATGCTATTGAATTTCATACGTGTAAAGGATGTTACTATGCTGCAATTGACTGTAAGGACCATTATGGGGCTGTAGGGGTTCATTAAAAGACCATAGTTTCCGAATGGACATGTATTTTTCTAAATCTATCTCGGCATTTGTTTCATTTCCTTCAAATTTTGAGCTTTGGGGATTAGGTTTATGGAAACAATATATCACTCTAGACTTTTATCGACTTATATCATCTAGACTTACCATCCAAAACAATCAATCTTTAAGATTAAACTTTGTATCTCAATCAAAGCTCTTGATTATTACACCTCAGTGGGAAGTTAAAAGAATATTTAGAAAATTTCACTTATTTGGATTTATTTAGGTTAATTTTACTAACTTTCATTTAAATTGAACTTAGATTATATTTGTTGGTGAATTTCTTTTCAATTTTTTTAGTCCAGATCTCTATGGATTTAATTCCTTTTACATTTTGTATTTCTGTGATGGTGAGATAATGATTTTACTCGAATATATTCCTACTTTTGATAACTTTTCGTGTTTTAAGTGTATTAATGCTCATAAAAGTAGTGAAAGTTGTCATTAATTATTCGTTTCTTGTTGACAGCTTCTTAAAAATAATATACATTTCATCATCCAAACATGCTTATGTTTGTAAACAAAATTCACTATGAATGTAAATTATGGAATGGGTTAAAGTAAGGATATCACCCCATTTTATAGGTTTTATGCGATGAAATTATTTCACACTCTTACGTGTGCTTCTGTTAATTTTCTTCACGTCTTTCATTCCCATTACTGAGGCCGTTAGTTTAAAAAAAAAAAAAATTGGTAATAGAATTTTACACATTGCCTTCAATAGAAATAATTACTGTATGCTATACGGCAAAATTGTCTTTAAACTATTCAGGAAAAAAAAAAAATTGTCTTTAAACTGTGTCTAGTTGTAGAAATTCCAGAGATTTTGGTTTATAGGGTTTTCTCTCTCCCTTGTTGGGACCCCTAACTAGACCTGAGCATATAACTCTTGACTCTATAAAGATATTTAGACTCCTATTTTCTCATCATTTCTCTTTGATCAACGATTATAGCTTTTAAGAATAATTCATCAACTTCATAAGCAAGCCGCACTTAGTCGTAGTTTGCTGATTAGATAGTTTTTCAGAGCCAAGTGTGGTTGTCATATTCCCTTATTGTTAGGGGTGCTTGCCCCACATCGGATCCGGATGGGGAAGGTCTTAGCCTCTTTGGCATATTTAGGTGGGCGTGCAACACTACTCAACAACTTAAGCTTTTGGGTCATGTTACGACAAACACAGCGAATCCAAGAACAAATCAAGAATCACGACATAAAATAAACACGCCACACACAATGAACACAAAGACTTAGCGTGGTTCGGTAAAACCTACATCGATGGTGAAGACAGTGAAGATTTGGCTAAAGAATTCACTATGCAAAAATCTGGAGATTACAAGTTTCAGCCCCCAAACCCTAGCTCTCACTCTCACTTTTAATCTCTTTTTATGCGATTTTTAGTGTCTCAATATCCCACTCCAAACCCTAAACGCCCTTATATATCGGGCTACAAGAGAGTACTAAATAGGGTCCACGCCCTGCAAGCAAAAAGGGTCAAAAATCATTCAACGCATTGTTGGGTCGTAAATGTTGACCTGGTACCAAATTCGGGCCACAACATCACAGGTCAGAAGGCAACCGTCCAGCCCGTAACAAGTGGTACCAAAGCCAGACATAGACCTTGATTTGGTTTCACGCCAAGTCCCCACCCCGGTGGAGTTCGGGTCGTTACTAGGTCCTCGGGACAAGTAGGCAGGGTGGTCTGACCACAACTGGAGGGCATTGCGATTCTTGCTGCAGCTTGCAAGGGAAGTGAAAAGGGTTATCGGAGAGGCACCGGTGTGGTATCGGCCTAAGAGTCTTCGACGGTCAAGTTAAAACCAAATCGGAAACAGAAGGAAAGGGAGTAGATTTCTTCTAGGGTTTTTTTCGATGTACCTTTTGATTTGACCGGTCCTGTCTTTTTATAGGAGTTAGTAGTAGCATTCAATTGGGGAACTTATTTCCCTTTATTTTTCCAGCAAGAATAGGAGTCCATATGGCATCGTCATCTTATTTATGAGTCGCAGTCTAATTAACTTCTATGTCGTATCGTTCAAACTTCATATTGCGTTAGAAGTCCCGCATCAGTTGTCCCCCATTCCCAAGCGTGCGTGTCTTGCACAGGAATTGCTTAGTCGCTTCTGATGCTCTATTCTTCCCTGAAAAATAAATTAGCAAAGTAATATTTTCTTTTACTTTATCCTTCACAATATATATATATATATATATATATATATATATATATATATATGCATGGACATGTCCACCAAATGGACACTTTATTTCTGTATTTTATTTTATTTTATTATTATTATTTTTTTAAATGATGCCCACCCACATAGGTGGACACTTTATGCATTTACTATACCCGGCATAAGTGCCAGGCATATGGGTTGAACATATAGGTTGGGCGTTTGTGGCCAACCACCTCTATAATTTTTTTTTGTTTTATAATAAATGATGTCCACCCATGTGGGTGGACAATTTATGCATGTACTATGCTTGGCATAAGTGCTAGGCATATAGGTTGGACACATTGGTTGGGCGTTCTGCCCAACTAATTCCTTCTTTTATTTTGATATTGCTTCACCTCCAACGGCTCTCTCTCGGACATATTCAAACAGTAACTTTTCAGAGGCCTAGTTAAGGCCATCAATTCGGGGAGCATCCTTATAACTTTCAGTTGGTAGCAACTCTATAACTTTTATCATCCTTTCATCGCCCATGGCTGCCCCGACCTCTTCTTCTAACCCGACGACCCAAATAACGATTGTCTGGTGCAGGTGGGAAATATCCAATCTTAAATAGACAAGTTCCAGCTGATTCGCTTAAATGGTAAATTTTGTTTGCCAGCAACAATCAAACTTCAACGCGCTGAAGATACAGAGAAGGTGTCTTCCACCCCCTCTAGGCCGGACGAAGTATGTTTTTATGAGATGACGCTTGAGTCAGGATTACGCTTTCTCCTTCCTAGCTTGGTAAGGGTGGTGCTCTATTTACTCAAGATCTCCCCTTCGCAGCTCCCACAAATGGCGCCAGTTGTTGATGCAAATTCCTGCTGTGACCCGAAACCTGCAAGGCAAGGGAAAAGGATTGTGGTGGGGCACCTGATGTGTTCCCGCCATAAGGATTGAAGGATGTAGGTTACAGGTTGCAGACGGGCACTAAACGGAGAATGGTTTCTCGGCATGGGAGGGCTAGAATACTGAGGAGCAAAGGGCGTCTCTTGGACAACCTGACGTGAAGAGGCATTCCCTGAGATTGCTCCTTGCTCATGAGTGTTTGGCTTGCACTTCTTCAGCTTACCACAAACGTGAGAAATGACATCCCTAGACAAGGTGCGTAAAAAGAAAGGAAAGCAAAGAGTAAGATGCGAGAAGCAATTAAAGGTTCATAGGGGGCATTAGAGTGTACCAGAGGGGGGACATTGAGGGGATCCGCCACTTCCTTCAGGACTTACTGCGAACGAAAGCATGGTCCTCGGATTTACTAAGGACAACTAACCCCCCACCAGACACGAGTCTTGTAAAGCCCTCTGCACTCTCTCCTCTTCCTTTGGGGAGAGTAGCCAATCAGCCTGAGTTTCTGCTTAACAAAGTACTAATTAGCAACACTAAAAAAATAGTATGAGAAAAGTGAGATTAGAAAAAGGCACGACTTACCAGACAGAGAGGAGACATCGCCCTAAGTCCGAGGCACTGAGATACTCTCTTCAATAGTTGCGTTAGGATGAAATTCCTTAACATATAAGTACTTCGATGTCCAACCCTTGTGGTTAGGAAATTCGGGTAGGATAAATTGATCGAACCGCTTAAGCCTATAAAAGGTAACCCAGTTGCCGGAAATCTTTGAAGGGCAGAAGAAATAGAAAAATTCCGCAAGAGTCATGGCACCATTTCCACAGAGATGCCAAAGAATCATGCTTCGAATTAACGCCCTCCAGCCATTGGGGGAGAGTTGCGAGGGGGAGATCTTAAGTAAATAGAGCACCTCCCTTACCAAGCTAGGAAGGGGAAAGCGTAATCCCGACTCAAGTGTCATCTCATACAAACATACTTCGTCTGGCCTAGAGAGGGTGGAAAACGCCCTCTTCGTATCTTCAGCGCATCGAAGTTGGATTGTTGTTGGCAAACATAATTTAGCATTTAAGCGGATCAGCTGGAACTTGTTTATTTTAGATTGTATATTTCCCACCTGCACCATACAATCGTCATTTGGGTTGTCAACCTCTGGGTTGGAAGAGGAGGCCAGGGTAGCCATGGACGATGAAAAGATAATAAAAGTTAATAGAGTTGCTACCCAACTGAAATTTATAAGGATGCTCCCCGATTGATGGCCTCTGAAAAGTTACCATTTGAATTGGTTTGTTGAGAGAGAGCCTTTGAAGGTGAAGCAATATCAGAATAAAAGAAGGAATTGGTTCGGCCGAACGCCCAACCAATGTGTCCAACCTATTACGCCAGGAATAGTACATGCATAAAGCATCCACCCACATGGGTGGACATCATTTATAACAAATAAAAAGTATAAAGGTGGTTAGGCACTAACACCCAACCTATATGTTCAACCCATATGCTTGGTACCTATGCCAGGCATAGTACATGCATAAAGTGTCCACTGATGTGGGTGGGCATCATTTCAATATAGATATTTAAAATACAAACATGAAGTGTCCACTTGGTGGACATGTCCATGCACACACACACACACACACACACACATATATATATATATAAATAATGAAGGATAAAGTGAAAGAAAATATTATTTTGCTAATTTATCTTTCAAGGAAGAATTGGGCGTCATAAGCGACTAAGCATTCCTTGTGCGAGACAAGCATGCTTGGGAATGGGGGGCAACTGATGTGGGATTTTTAACGCAATAGGAAGTTTGAACGTCACGGTATAGAAGTTGAGCAAACTGCAACTAATAAATGAGATGACGATGCCGTATGGACTCCTTTTTTTTTTATAAGTAAAAATAACATTAAAAAAAGGCGTTCAAGAGGGGAACGCGTCCCAATTACAAAAGTGGAATTGGGACTAAGGCCCCAAAGAATCCAAAAAAGTAATTAAATCATCTGAAGAAGAACAAAAGCTTCTCTTCACATAATTGAAAAGAGAACGAAGAATGTAAAGTTTGACCATTGCCGTAGGTGACTCTTTTCCTTCGAACATTCTGCTATTTCTCTCCTTCCAGATGCACCACCATACACAATGTGGTACAATTCTCCAGAAATCGCGAACGTCTCTTCTCACTCGACAACCTCTCCAGACATGAATTAATTCTTTAGTAGATCGTGACATAACCCAACACATGCCAAACAACCCAACAATAAGATTCCAACAATCGATCACCACAGGGCAATGCAAAAGGAGGTGATTAACGGACTCCTCATCATCCTTGCATAGACAACATCGATTAACAATACAATTGCCCATTTTTCTCAAATTATCAATTGTCAGAATCTTTCCCCACACAGCAGTCCAAACAAAGAAAGCCACCCTAGTTGGAGCCATAGACCGCCAAATAGTTTTCCACGGAAAGTCTCGATTAACAAAATTTGACAAACATAAGAACAAAGATCTAACTTCGAAATGACCGTGGGAAAAGGGAGCCCAAATTAAAACATCATTACCTCTGCCAACGCCCTCCTGTCGATACAGAAGATCCAGAAAAACACATACCTTGTCCATCTCCCGTACCTGAACATAGCGCCGAAAATGCACATCCCATATAATCCCGTTGCTATCAAGCCGATAGCAGTCAACTATGTAGGCGTGTTTATCAACAGCAATACTAAATAATCTAGGAAATGTACGAGAAAGTGGCTGATCCCCACACCAGAGATCTTCCCAAAACCGAATGCAACGTCCATCACGGAGTTTGAATCTGATATGAGCTGAAAAAACATCCCATCCCTTCCGAATAGCCTTACACATCCCTACTCCTCCCACCAGGGTAACCAGACGCGTAGACCAACCTCCAGCCTCTTTGCCAAATCGAGACTAACCTGCGCCATGGTTGATGTCTTTCCCTTCCATATCTCCATAACCACTTACCTAGGAGAGCTTGATTGAAAGGAACTAAACGTCTTATTCCGAGACCACCCAATTTCACGGGCTTACAAACTTCCTCCCATCTGAGAAGGTGGTACTTGAACTCATCGCCCTTACCTCCCCAAAGGAAATCCCTTTGAATTTTTTCAATCCTATCTGCAATGAAACAAGGGATTTGGAACATAGAAAGAAAATAAGTGGGGAGGCTCGACAATGTGCTCTTGATAAGAGTAACTTTACCCCCTTTTGACAAGTATTGCTTCTTCTAACCTGCTAATCTCTTCGCATACCTTTCAATCACGGAATCCCAGCTTCCCACTAATCTTGAAGAGACCCCTAGGGGCAGACCCAAATAAGGAATAGGGAATGAGCTCACCCTGCATCCAAGAATTGCAGCTAAAGAGGAAATACCCTGAACATTCCCTACTGGGACAAGCACACTCTTTGCCACATTGACCTTTAGCCCGGAAACTGCCTGAAAACAAGTCAGAAGACACCTCAAGTATCAAAGTTGAGACACATCAGCATCACATAAAACCAGGGTGTCATCTGCAAAGAGTAAATGGGAAATCTCCATCTGATGGTCTAAATCTCTACCCACCCTGAAGCCCTTTATAAAACCAAGGTCCTCCGCCCTGCGCATCAGTCTACTTAACCCCTCCATAACAAGAAGAAAAAGGAAAGATGACAAAGGATCTCCTTGTCTTATACCTCTAGAGCAACCAAAGAAACCAGCGGGAGAACCATTCACAAGAATTGAAAACTTGACAGACGAAAGACAGGTCTCAATCCATTTCCTCCATTTACTTCCAAACCCCATTCTTTGTAACAAATAGAGTAGGAAATTCCAATTCACATGATCATATGGTTTCTTAATGTCAAGTTTGCATAAAACTCCAGGAATACCACTCCGCAATCTGGAATCCACACATTCGCCAGTAATAAGAACTGAATCAAGAATTTGTCGTCCGCCAACGAAAGCATTCTGGGAATCTAAAATAATCCCATCCATAACTTCCCTCATCCTTAAAGCGAGCACCTTAGCAATAAGTTTGTAAATGCAGCCCACCAAACTAATAGGGCGAAAATCCTTTATATCTGAAGCGCCTCCCTTTTTTGGAATAAGGGCAATGAATGAAGCATTAAGCAACTTCTCAAAGACGCCAAAGGAATAAAACTCCTGAAAAGTACCCATTACCTCATTTCTTACAACCGCCCAACTTTCCATCAAAAATCGCATAGTAAAGCCATCAGGTCTCGGAGCTTTGTCCCCATTACAACTTGATAGAGCTTTAAGAACTTCTTCTTCTTCAGTGAAAGGATTCTCAATCCTATCTCTATCAAGCTCAGAAATAGCCTCAAAATGGAGACCATCAATTTTGGGCCTCCAAACTAAAGGCTCTGTGTAAAGCTTCTGATAAAAGGAAGCAATACCGTTACGCACCTCTTCCTCTCTCCACAACTCCTCGCCATCCACCCGAATTCTTCCTATGTGATTACTCCTCCTATGAGCGTTAGCTAACCGGTGGAAGAATTTTGTGTTCCGATCACCTTCCTTTAGCCAAAGAGCCCAAGATTTTTGTTGCCATGAAATCTCCTCCATACTAGCAATCTCGGCAAATACCGCCTGACAAGAGGCTCTCCTAGAACGAAGAGATTCCATATCCCTTCCGGCCTCCTCAAGATGATCAATCTCTGAAAAATCTGCAAGTACTCTATCCTTCCTCCATTCCAAATTCCCGAAGACATCCTTGTTCCACTGCTTGAGAGCTAACTTGAGAGCCCTTAACTTCTTTGTAATTGTGAAATTGGGCGAACCTGAAACAATAACTCCTTCCCACCAAGAACTGACTTTTCCTTGGAAATCTTCCGCACGCAGCCACATATTCTCGAATCTAAACGGGGATCTTTGAGAACATAAACCCCCGCAATCCAAGACCAAAGGCACATGGTCAGAAGTGACCCTTTCTAACACCGGTTGAACAACATCCGGGAATTTCTCTTCCCAATCCCCAGAAACTAAAAATCTGTCCATTGGATAGAGTGATTGGATCCCTACCATTGGACCAAGTAAAAGCTGCACCTTCCATTGGTAAATCAATAAGAAGATGCTCATTAATAAAATCAGAAAATTGATCCATTTCCAGAGATCTTCTTCCCCCTGTAGACAATATTAGTGAATTACAGAAATGAAGTAATTCATCTGTATGCTTTGATATTCTGGTTCTTTGAGATTGTTGGTTTTAATTCTGGTGAAATTGTTTATGCTAATATTTCTCCATAGATTAAAGAGATTGGAAAGAACTGCTGTAAGACTACGTGTTATGTTGTTTCAGTAAAATCACTAATAATCCTGTATGAGATCTGGTTGGTCAATTAAGATATATTTTCAATTATATGGTTTTAGCCACCTTAGTTTGACATGTGGCAATATGATGTTTTGAGGACCCAGAACTTGATGGTCCTTGCAAGGAATTTATGTGTAGGATAAGGATTGTATGAACAGTTGGTTTTATATTGTGTAATCTGAAATAACTTGCAAGTTGTAAGAACAAGGAATTGAATTAATAACTTGGATTTGTTTAATATTATGAATGCCAAATGCTTCAAACATTTTTAGTTGTCTGATTACCATGTTGATTTGTTATTTAGTGTTTATTTCTTTAGATTGCATCCTTTTGTCCCCAATAAGGATGGTAAATAGTCGATCAATAATGTGCCAACAGTCTACCTTATTGGGTGTGCCATTGGAGACTCAGCTTGTAATTTGTCCAAAACTTGGATACTAGTATGTGGACACGTTTTGCATACTTAATAACATAATCTGCTACTTAATAATGTAATGTATCATACTATTATTTTCTTTAAAAATAATAATTTAAATTAAATGAAACTAAATAGAATATGGTTAAAAGAAGAGAGTTTTCACCTATCTCATAAGTAAGGAACTATTCGCAGCAATAAAATTTGAGTAATATTTCTTCTTCTATCATCATAGTTAGAGGTCTAGGTGTCCAATTTAGGTACGTGTGTTGGACACATATTTCATACCCATATCCATGGCTTCTTGTTAGAAATTGATACGGTGAGGGGAACAGGAGAGTCCAGGACTCCAGGCAACATAGCTTGCAAGCACAAGGAATTAATGAACTTAGATTTGTTTGATATAGTTGAATGCCAAATGCTTTAAAATTCTTTTTGTTGTCTGATTACCATGTTGATATGTTATCTAGTGTTTATTTTCTTAGGTTGTGTCCATGTGTCCCCAATAAGACTGGTAAATAGTCGATCAATGAGTGTGCAAACAGATCTTCCTTATTGGGTGTGTCATTGTCATAATGGTATTTCGCAAGGGAAGAAAACACAATAGAGTATATGTTTGTACTCTATATTTTTCTTAATATGCAATAAACTTATGGAGCTATTTGCGTAATTATTGTTCTATGATTGTATTCCTACTGGTGTAAGTTTAAAGTTCCATGCAGTGCTTCACAAGATGCATTTTACCACAGCATGAGGCATTTAATAATATATATGCTAATGCGAGCATTTTTGTTGGGGTACCAGGGGGCGTCGTCATGTAAGATGGGATGAAGCTAATCTGGGGGAAATTGAAGCAAATAAACCCATTAGGCAGAAAATTAATGAACCTAAAACACCATATCACCCCATGATCGATGATGATGGTATGTTGCTCTACGCTCTTCAGTACTTGCATATATTTGTATATATGCATATATTTCTTTTCTTATTTTTAGGAAAATTTTAAATTTTAACTTTTTTCTAGGTTATAGATGCACTCTGAAAATTTTGCTTTTTGTAAAAGCTAAATTATGATAGGATCCCTAAAGGTAGTCAATACAGTAATGTAAACATTGAGTTATTGCAGTCAGAAATACGTCGATTCTTTCCGCTTCTTATTGCAATTTTGCTTTATGGTTCAGAAGTTGATGATACTATGATGCTGATAATCTGCTAATGGATCGTAATATTTCTGTTTCTATATAAAATCATAAAAGATCTTTGCGTTGTTGGGTTAGATGGTTTCCTTTTGAATTCATATTATCAATCATATATATATATATATATATTTTTTTTTTTCTCGGCCAGTGAAAATTTTACTACCAAAAAAATAAAGAATTACAGTAAAAATCCGAATACACTCTCTTTGAAGAAGTTCTCACACACCTGAAGGCTAGATAAACAAAAGAGAATTTCTTACATCCCAGGGTAAGAAACAGTAAACTTGTCCTGATAATTAGTTTGCGCAATCTTATGGAACTCCTTGGCTTATGAATATTATCTTCAATGGAGTCCTTAGTAGGGCGACAAAGAACTATAGAAGTTCCTTTTTGGGGATCCGAAGCTTGGGGACTCTCTTGGAGCTCTCTCAATTGGCTTATGAGGCACAACGGAATCATCAGCAATCCCTTATTCAGGCTTCTCCAATAGATTACCATCCTTATCTATGAGAGAAGAGAGAGTGTGTCGAAGACATTAAAAGTGGAAACATGAGAACCTCTCACCGCCAAAGGAGGATGTAAAGACTAAAAGATGCAGAGAGAGAGAGAGAGAGATGGAGGCTGCACAATATGTTATTTCATATATCTTGTAAACCCTAGAACAAACAAAGCATATATATGTACAAGAATGTGTTAATTACCTACTAGCCCTACCAACTATACATAATTTCAATATGACCCAACATATATATATATATACACACACATAAATGTTCTAACACTCTCCCTTAAGCTGGAGAATATATATATCATATAATCCCAGCTTGAAACAGATAGTCCTCAACCGATTATGACCCAACGCTTTGGTAAACATATCAGCTAGTTGATCTTCAAACTTCACAAATGGAGTTGAAATGTTCCCACTTAATATTTTTTCCTGAATGAAGTGACAATTAACTTCAATATGCTTGGTTCTCTCAAGAAACACAGGATTGTATGCAATTTGAACGGCCGCTTGGTTATCACAGAACAATGGAATAGGAGCTTTGAATGTCGGCCCAAGTTTCTCTAAAAAGTGTTTGTATCCTTGTCAACTCACTAGTAGTATGAGCCATTGCCCTGTACTCAGCTTCAGCACTAGATTGAGCTACTACCGTTTGTTTTTTACGCCTCCATGTAACAAGATTTTCTTCTGCAAATGTGCAATAGCCTATAGTAGACCTCCTATCTGAGGGAGATCCAGCCCAGTCAGCATCTGTAAAACCTTCCACATTGAGATGACCATTAGATTTATTTAGCAACCCAAAACCTGGAGCTTACTTGAGATATCGAATAATTTGAAGAATAGCATTCCAATGTGGTACTCTAGGAGCTCCCATGAACTGACTTACAACACTAACTGCATATGGAATGTCAGGTCGAGTGACAGTGAGATAAATTAATTTCCTAAATAGACGTCGATATCTACCATGGTCGTCAAATAAATCGTAGGAGTTTTATATTTGGATCCATAGGAGCATCAGCAGGACGACCACCTAACATACCTGTTTCTTCTAATAAGTCCAGCACATATTTCCTTTGACATAAGCTTATACCTTCCTTGGATCTAGTAACCTTAATACCTAAGAAATATTTTAGTTTACCCAAATCTTTAGTATGGAACCGATTTTGCATAAACAACTTTAACTTATCAATGCTGTCACAATCATCACCTGTGATAACAATATCATCTGCATGAACCACAAGAAAAATAAAACCAGTTCTGGTGTGTTGGTGAAATACAGAATAATCTGTCTGACACCTGTTAAGACCAAAAGCAAGTGTTTTCTCAAAGAATTTTCAAGGAGATTGTTTCAATCCATACAGGGCCTTGTTAAGGTGACATACAGCTAGGGCTGCAATGAGCCGAGCTTTAGGCTGTTCGGGCTCGGCTCGTTTGTTTGCAGGATCAGCTCGGGCTCGAGCTCGGCTCGTGATGAGCTAAAAAATTTGAGCTCGGGCTCGGGCTCGTCTTGATTTTAAAAGCTCGGGCTCGGCTCGTTTAACAAAAAAAAAAAAAAAAAAAAAAAAAAACTAAAATTCAAAATTAATTAGTATTCTACAGGCCACAATACCTTTTTCCAATGCTTTATCAATTATCACATAAGCAAAAAGAAAAAGGGCCAAAAAAAAAAAAAAAAAGGTGCAGTAGTGCAAGCTTTTATGTTTCAAGAACAAATGAAGAGTTAATTTCGAAAAAAGAAAAAAGGACAAAATTGAGCATGTGTGCATTATGCATTTTCTATGAAAATACAACACATCAAAAAGTTATAAATTCCCATGATAATAATATCTATAGAACCACTGAAACTTGTATATACTAAGTAGAAAAAGAAATCACAGAGGAAAATAAGTTGGAGATAAATTAATTTAGCTACCTGTGACCATTGAGCATTAGTATCCATAAATTTAGAAGCAGCAGAAGAAAAGGCTAAAGAAATGAAAGTGATGTGTTTAGCTAAACAAAATTGTCTGCAACTGCCTAAAGAATGTTTTGAGGTTGTCTAGATTAATGGAATTAAAGTGAAAGTAAAGTTTTGCCAAAAAATTATTTGATGCAGTACCTAATTGATGGCGAGGACAGAGGATGGCCATCGATGATGACGAGGATGGAGTGATAGCGGCACAGACGACGGCAGGAAACGGATGACGTCCATGGCGAGGACAGAGGACCGCGGCCGACGATGACGATGACGATGACAGACGATGCGTTCAGATCTGAGAGAGAGAGTTATGGCGATTGAGTTGATTAGAGAGAGACAGAGAGTTAGTCGTGTAGATGGAAGGGTTGTCGTCAGTGGACTAAGCCGGTGGAGTTGATTCGTGACTCGTGAGTGAGTGATAAAGAGAGAGAGACTGACGATGGGATTTGTTATGGAGAAGAGGCAAATCTGAATGGTGGAGTTTAGTTTTAGGGTTTTGATATCTTACAAAATCAACGGATGAGATGGGTTCTAATTTAATGGATGAGATGAAATCTTATTTAGGCTATGGTGGATTTTCTTTGGGCTAGTTAGTTATAATGCTTGGGCCATATTAATGAAAAATATGAGCTGGGCCAACCTTAAAAATAATATGGTAAACATTTTAAATGTACAATAAAAACAAATGGGCCTCATATATATAATGGGCCTCATATATATAACGAGCTTGATACGAGCCTTGTTCACGAGCCTTAACGAGCCCATGTTCACGAGCCTATGCGAGCCGAGCCCAACGTTGCTTGGGCTCGACTCGTTTAGTAAACGAGCCTAGAAATTGGGTTCGAGCTCGGCTCGTTTGCTTAATGAACGAGCCCGAGCCGAGCCCTTAACAAGCCGAGCAGCTGTTCATGAACAACTCGGTTCATTTGCAACCCTACATAGAGCATGACGAGACTCCCCCTGAGCAACAAATCCAAGTGGTTGCTCCATATAAACCTCATGTAAGTCACCATGCAATAAGGCATTTTTCACATCTAATTGAAACAACGGCCAATTATAATTGGTGGCAATGGAAATAAGGATTCGGATAGAAGAAATCTTCGCAACAGGAGAAAGGGTCTCATCATAATCAATACCATAGGTGTGGGTGTACCCCTTTGCAACAAGACGAGCCTTCAAACGCTCAATAAACCAATCATGAAGGTATTTGACAGTGTAGACCTACTTACAACCAATCGGTTTGGAACCAGGAGGTAAGGAAACAAGGTCCTATGTCCCATTATGATGAAGAGCATCCATTTCATCTACCATGGCTTTGCACCAGTCTGAATTTGAAAGAGCATCCTGCACAGTCTTAGGAACAACAGTAGTAGACAACTTTGGATAAAAAACGGGAAAAAGAGGGTGATACATAACTATATGAGACAAAATTAGAAATAGGATGTGCAGTGCGTAAGGCAATAGGAAGATCATCAGTAGGAGGAGGAGCCTCAATAGAATTAGACAATTGGGGGGATGCTTCCTTTGGTCGTCGACTATACACTTGAAGTGGTGGTGGTGTGACACACTCAGGCGAAGTAGACACAACAGGCAACGGAAGCAATAAATCAGTACTTAAAAGACGAACCACGTGAAGAGAAGTAAGGAGTGTCCTCAAAAAAGGTGACATCCATACACACGAAAGATCTACAAGTGTTTGGATCCCAACATTTATAACCCTTTTGAGTTCAAGAGTAACCAATAAACACACATTTAATAGCACGAGGAGACAATTTATCAGTGCAAGGACGTAATATATAAGCGAAGCACACACAACCAAAACACAAGGAGTCAATGCAAATAACGGACGAGTAGGAAAAACAATAGAATAAGGGCATTTCCAGTTAAGAACGGAAGAAGGCATGCGATTAATTAAGTAGCAAGCAGTTAAAACAGCATCTCCCCAAAATGCATTTGGAAGATGCATATGGATCATTGAAGTCCGAGCTATCTCAATTAAATGCCTATTTTTCTATTCTGCTACGCCATTTTGTTGAGGAGTATAACAAGAAGTTTGGTGCAAAATACCACGAAAGTCACAAAATGTAGAAATAACACCTTTGACATATTCCATAGCATTATCAGATTGTAAAGTTTTTAAACACAGCCAAACTGGACCTCAATTTCTTTAAAAAATAATTGAAATATGGAAAAAAGTTCAGACCGGTCTTTCATTAAAAACATCCAAGTCATCCTTGAATTGTCATCAACAAAGGTAACAAA